GGGGGGGGGGGCGGGGCGCTCTCACCTGGAGTCGGTGCTGCAGGAACTGGGCCTCCAGGCCGGGCCGCTGGCAGAGCTGAGGGTGTGGGCTGCTGGGTAGCGCAGAGATGCTTTTCTGCTGCTGAGAAACTTCCTCCTGAGGAGAAGGGGTGAACACATTTTCAATTGTCCATTAGGGGAGAAAGTTTCAATTCTTAGTTGAAACACATGGGTGAACGTCCAAGAGGAACTCCAGCTCTGCTAAGACGGAGTACTCAGAGCTCTTCACATAGCCAGTAGGTAGGCTGAGGGTTAACCACTTTGCAGAACGTGTACACATGCATTTCCTGTGGTGAACGATTACCTAGTCAGTACTGGAGCAAAGGCCCTTTCTGTCACCAGAACGTTATTACCTTCATGTGGCATCAAAGTCCGTGATGCACTGGAAACGGACTCAAATGAAACTTATTAGATAGACAGCAATATTTTGTATTTTTAGCATCAATAATTCATTTAATAAGATTTAATGATGTGATATCACATCAAAAACAGCGGCAACAAGCTTCTCATTTTGTGTCAAGTTTCTTATTCTTAACTTCTCTGTGTGTGTGTGTGTGTGTGTGTGTGTGCACGTGAGGGGGAGGGAGTTCACGTTCAGTCCGTCCTGTGAACCGAGCAGAGCTGGCCAGTGTCTAGACCTCCACGTGGTGCAGATCGCCTGGGCCTGCGTGGGCGGGCCTAACCCGGCCTGTCAGCGGCAGAGGGCAGCAAGAGGGGAAGCTTTCAGGCTGCGGGCTTTCCAAAAGCGTTTGTCTGCTCCAGGACTGCAGTAAATCCTCTGAGTGAAATGATGCATCTTCAGGACAAAGCCCTGCCACGTACTCACAGAGCCCCTGAGGCCAGGGCCGGGGTACCCACCTGAGGGCAGCTGCTGGCAAGGGCTTGGAGCTGAGGAGCAGGTGAGGCCAAGTTAGGGTCGGCCTCGGATCCCATCTGCTCGTAAAGCAACTGCACTTTGTTCAACTCTAGGATTCCTTTGGTTCTAGCCAGATTCTGAAGATGCTGTCTGAATGCTACAATTCCTGAGAGAAAGAACAATGTTTAAATAAAACACAAGGCCTTTCAGTGACCACGCGTGTGAACTCACATGGCAGCAAAGCCCGTCAAGTCCTAGCAGCGTTAAGAATTGTGAGAGCCAGCAGAGAAAGCCGCAGTCACCTTGGGTGAGGGAGGTGTCCGACGCCCGGCGGCCCTCTCTGAAGCTCACTGGAGACCTATTGTGAGCCTCTCGTTTCTGGGAGCTCAGAGCCTGCATGGCTGGGTTGGCAGGTCTCAGGCTCACGAAGGGAGACGTCATGCGGGGTGAGGGCTGATTGGCTAACATGATGTCCTTGAGGGAAGGGTTGTCCTCCAGAAAATTCAGGTCCCTCTGAACAGACCCCATGTCATATTCAGAGTCCACACTGTCAAGGGAAGGGTTGTCACCCACAGAGAAAATTTTCCCTTTAAGAGAGAAAAACCAAAACAAAACACGTATCACCACCAACAAATAGCATATTCTTGGAACATAGGATACAAAGCATACAGCACAGCCACAACGTCCTTCATCTCCAGCCAAAACATCTTTCCAGAAACTTCTTATATGGCAATTTAATCAGCTTCAAATTTAGTGGGGAAAACACTCCAGAACCTGTACCTGTAAGATTTCTGCCACTCAAAAAAAGAGCCAGAGAGCCGATGAGTGTCACAGCCCTCAGATGGGTCCTAGGAGTTAGAGGAGCCATCTCAGAGATAATCCATCTCCATCTTTGTGGCTGTTGACCAGGTCTGATCTTCCAGCCCACTGAATGTGGTCCACGAGGGAACAAGACCCAGACAGCATTCTGGGAACTGGTTGGTACTGTTACCAGTTCTTGGAGCTTGGAGAACGAGGTGACGCTGGGAAGACTTAACGTGGCGCTTACTGGCTACTGTACCTGAACCAGGCATCACCACCAGCTGATTGGTCACTTCCGACACAGTGTGCCGTCTCTGCCCACTGCGTGTGGACTGGAAGGCGTCGAAGGACTGACTGGGGTCTTCCTCGGCGTCTCCTTCTGTCTCCACGCCCTCATCAATGGAGGTCTCCATCACGTTGCCAGGCAACGACTGGCACCCCTTCCTCGCCAGGACAGGGGGCACAGGGTCCAGCAGACAGCCATTCACCTAAACACCAGCGTGAGAGGGAGGCGGGAGGAGACCGTTAGTGGCTGCTCTGCTGAGACATCAGGAACATCCACACAGGAAAAAAGATTCGAGACCTGTGGCAAGTCGGAAATTACGCGTAATATTCAAGATGTGCACATTTGTTACTAATGACAACCTGTAGCTGGGAAGTCAGCTCCAGTGCTTAGAGACAGAAGCCCTTTATGACCCAAGCTGGCACTGCCTCCCAGGTTTCTCTGAGTCATCTTTATTACAATAAACAATTTTTTAGTGGTTTCCAAATGAATAGGGTCTATTAGCTTCAGGCCTGCCAGTTGTTTTTTTTTTTAATAAGGGAAATGAAGAGGGGGAAGATGAGATTTAAAAAAAAACCCAAAAAACAAACTGCATGGCTCATAGCTAAGAAAAAAGAGCAGTCGCCAGCATTCTTCTAATTTTCAACCACAGAACCTATTGGAAGGCTCTAGACATACGTTTATGTTCATAATTTAAGTACCTGCCTGTTTGATTTAGTCTTTAGTTGGTTCTATGTGCCTGAGGAATGGAAAAAAAAAAGAATTCTTTAAAGGCAGACATATCACAAAAAGGAGTGGAAAAAAAAAAATCAAACAGCAAACAGCCAAAGCCTTCCATTATAGAATAACAAATGACTCGCAGGCCCCAAATTCCAGCAGGGGTTAATGAGCACTAGTGCACTGAATTCTCCCTCCTCCAGCAGCACACAGTGTCCATCCCGCAGGGACGAGCTCAGCACAGCTCCTGAGTGAGAGCTTGGCCATCCTGCGAGTTGCCAAGCAAGCCACCTCATGGCGGGCAGAAACAGCACCCAGAGGGGAGCTGTGGTTGTGAGTTCTTCTGGCTGGGAAAAGCCCCAACGAGGAGGCAATTATTTACCTCATTACCTTAACTAGTCCCCCGTGGAGATCAATCCAGTTTTCTCCTATGAATGGCTGCTCAGGAGCAGCCAGGGTAAGATGCGGAGTTGCCAGCAGGACGTTCACCTGGAATACACTGCGCGGAGCTATTGTTTCCCTTGGAAGCAGGAGAAGCTCTCGTATGTGAGGGGTGACGTGGGACATCCCTGGGCCAGACACAGGAAACTTTCCTCTTATGGCAACCGATCTGAAGGCGCTGCGAGGCCCTTTATTTGGAGAGGGAAACTTGGGTGACTCAGATCTTTGTTTGCTTGGGGGAGGGGACGGTTATTCCATAAAAACTGTCCTGCGGCCAAAGCTATTACTTGGACATGGTGGCTAACGCACTACAGGGTTTTAAAGTGACAAGTGGTCATTTAAAAGGAAGTGGCAAATGCTTTTTTCCTAGACCCGGACCAATCTTCCCCATGGCACTGGGAAACAAAAACTCTGAAATCTGGCTGGCAACTCTTAGGCTCCCTTGACCCTTCCCCAGATACGTGTTCCCTTTTTGACCACACTTACAAGTTTTCTCGTAAGAAAGAATGGTTTGGGATCTTAACATTCATACCTCTATGTTCCTTAACTGTTTACTAATGTAATTTTCTAAGACTAACCAAGGATGATTTAGAAATGGATAAAGCAACAGAGAAAAGACTGTAATCAGGTAAATATCTCCCAAGCATCTTTATGTTTTATAGCCTCAGTTTTTAATCAGCTATTTCTTGCAGTATAGCCTTACAACCAGGTTCTTTTTTTCATTAGTAAAGTCACTTTTTTCCTGAGTACTCAAAAAACCTTGCAGTCCCCCTAAATTTGTGATTTTTTTCTTAAACTGCTTATAAATGTATCTCCTCATCTAGACTACAAGAAGAATTATATCTTACATTTAAAAGTGTTTGCTGAGTTCGGCTTCACCCTGAGACAGGTGGGTGACAATGATCTGGCTTCTCAGATGATGACTGAAAACGCTGTGGTGGCCCATTCAGAGTAAAGAGGTACAGACAGAAAGCTGCCCTGCGGCCCATCCAGAGTTTACAGGTGTGAACACTTTTAGCTCTGAGTTCACTTCCTAAAACAGGTGATAGTCATGCCACCCTTGCCGGACAACTTACCCAGGGACTTGTAACAAATTCAGCTCTAGGATTTTGTGGCTGAAATACTGGGCTGATCTACCTTCGTGACCTAAGCTGCTAGAAATGAGTCCTTCTGCTCTAGGAAATAATCTAGGCTAACCGCAGACTAGAGGGCTTCCAAATACAACGTGGATGAAATGCACATCTTCCAATACACCGTTTTTGCCTTTCCTTATGGCTCAGCCGACCCCTTCACTTCCGATACGAGGCTTCGTATTCAATAGGTGGTATACGTGGAGAAGTCAAACTCTCAGAAACTCCACTGCTAACTGACAGCACCCCTGAGCTCTCCAAAAATACAAGATTCAAGCACAGGAGACTGATAGGCTGTTATGGACTGAGTGTGTCTCCCCTTAAATTCATATATTGAAGCCCTGACCCCCAGCGTGGCTGTATTTGGAGATGGAGCCTCTAAGGACATGTAATGATATCAGGTCATAAGGGCGGGGCCCTGAACCATTAGGTTAGTGTCCTTATAGGAAGAAGCACTAGAAAGCTCTCTCTCCTTAGACAGGAGCGCAGAGGAGAGGCCATGGGAGGATATGAGAGCTGGGAAGACAGTCCACACCAGACATCACACTGACCACAACCTTATCTGACTTTTAGCCTCCAAAAACGGTAAGAAAATAAATTTCTGTTGTCTAAGCCACCCAGCCTGTGGCACTTTGGTGGCCTGAGCTGACTAATAAAGAGACTGACACAGGACTAGCCAGTGAGCCTGGAGGCTGGGAATGTGCCATATTTAATTTGTATCCTAAGTGCCTGCGAGTCTGGCACGTATTAAGGAGCCTCAAACCTCAGCTCCACTTATTAGGCAAGTGGCTTAGAGTCTATAAAGCTCTTTTTTTTTCTCCTCACTTATAAAAAGGGAGTAAAGTCGTCTGGGAGGATTAACTAAAACACTGTATGTATATATTACCATTACTTCTTGACCAAAAAGAATGCTTTATAACAATAAAAAATTTTAAAAGCATGAGTATAAAACAACAGTTTCTTTTAAAACATTTTTACTATCTTGAGGCAAATTAAAATAAACCACCAGATGAGGAAGCACAGAAGTGGGTAATGCCAGCTCTAGAAATTTATCCTAAGGAAATGAAGGTATAGTCGAAAATCTAGACACAAGGATATTCACCTGAAGCTATATGAGGAAGCAAAAAAGATTAAAGTACTTGATGTCCAAAGACAGGAAAGTAGGTAAGTAAGGGTACATCTAAGCTAATATACTAGGCAGTTGTTAAATATAACTCATGCTTTCATGGTATGGGAAAAATGCTCATGATCTTGTAAAAGCAAGGTACAAAACTACATCTAATACAATACAATTTTGTTTTAACAAGTCTACCTACGTCCTGAGTCACTCTGTCTTCATCCACCCACCCATCCGTCTATCCATCCATCTAGAACCCACTCTAAGGAGACATGCCACAATGGCTTACCTTTGGGTAGGGGGATTATGGATACATTAACTTTTTGCTATATCCCTCTCTGAATTTTCCATGTATGATTCTGACTGGTTTTACCTCTTTCAATTACAAATTAAAAAATTCAAATTCAGAAGTAAAAGTACAATTTCTCCCCTTTACAAAGTCTTAGCAGTTAACACGATTACCAGTTTTCGATGAATGTCCTTTTTAGACCATCTCTTATGTGTACTACCTTTATAATGAAAAAAAGGTATGAAAGACGCCAGTAGACGCGAAACACAATGTCTACACTTGCGTTTTCATAGTTTAGCCTCACAGTTCCCTTCGGCTATCCAGCTATGAAGATGGTAACTTGGAAAATCATTTTATTATAATCCCTAATAAATGTTAAGGTGACTGGTGTGTGTGTGTGTGTAAAGTCCATTATTCCCAAAGGAACTCTCAAAAGAGAAAGACTGGCCCTACAGGGCTTGCATCTGCCCAGATACGGGCTCTGTGCTGCTCGGTTACAGCTCACAGTTGGGTGGCTGCCTCAGAAAGGTGCTATTTTTGGGAGCAATCCCAAAGCGATGTTTCAGTGCAGACTCCCTAAGGGATTTTACTGACAGTTTTAAGTTGAAGACTTTTGGGAGGGAAGGAGAGGTGAAAACTCTCAGGGGCACAATTCCCGCCACCAGCTGAGAGCTGAAATGACTGGGCAACACACGCAGTCACGCAGCACCTTTTAGAAGACAGCAATCGGGCGTCGGAGCAAGTGCATAGGAAGCTATATGAACAACAAAGGACCGGTATCTCTGTCTGACATTTTCGTGCATGTGCGTTAATTACGGGCCCCAGAGAAAGAGGTGCGAGGGAGGGATGGACGGTATTGCTGACATAAATGAAACGGTCCACAAATAAGACCAGCGGGTGTCTGGAGCCTGGCTAAGAGCCAGGGTGGCCCTGCCAGTGTGGGTGGCCAGTTCCAGCGTGGCACTGCTTTTCGTACGAATGCAAATAGACCATCTAGCTACTGTCTGTATCTTTCACAAAATCATTCATTTCCTGTCTGTTTCCTAGTGACGGTAACAATCACAAGCTTTAAAAATAGCTTGCCCTATATAATACGGCAGACAGAGCCCAATCTGGGTTTCGGGCCTGGTGCCCTCACAGCCAAGCTTTTAGCAGACTGTATTTAATTTTTTTTCAAGGGAATTAGATTTTAAAAATAAGTGAATGATGTTGCCCCAATTTGTGTCTGAATTTCTGGGTGGGAATGTAATAGCAGTATGTGCTGTTACTGAACATGCTGGGCAACCAGGGACAGAAGAACCACTGTCCACAGGGAGTGGCCTCGTCCTCAGGGGCAGGGACACGAACTCCTCATGGTCAGCCACTTGGCTTAACACCTGCTTACGCAGCTGAGCATCAGGCCGCCTTGACTACGCTCCAGCTAACTCGTCACTGCACTTCTGCACCAGCCCTACCTCTAGAGCTCCCGAGGTCAGAAAGTGGCCTGTGTCACCCTCCCGTCATCTTGGCTCAAAGTACTGTTAGCGGTTTGGACTTCTTTCCTCTGGACCCTCACGGTCTATCAGTTTTCTCTGTTCAGTCCCTTTTACGTCAGCCCCGCCTCTCCAGTTTCATGAGCACTGTCCCAGGGCAGGCCCTCATCATCTCCCCAACTTCTGCTGTCCTTGTCACCTTGCTCTAACCTTCTACTGTCCTTGTCCTCAGTCTCTCCCCTCTCCAATGCAGGCCACGTGCCCTTCCAGGCTCATTTCTGAGGCACAACAGGGATCACAGTGGTTCTTTATCAAAAAATCTTCATGCAATATAATGTGTATGTGCAGTCGAACTGTAATAATTCTACATAATAAAACTGGAAAAAATAAAAATTAAAAAAATAAAATAAATGTATATTTTATAGTTAAAAAAAAATCTGCAACTGTTTCCTACCACCTTGGAGAAGTCCATTTGGAAAAACTGGCTCGATGATCCTGAAACACGTTCCCATGTTGAAAAGCCCAGCCTAGAGAAGGAGCGCAGCCCCCGACTTGCCATCCAGAGCTCAGCTACTGTCTTCATTCTGTACAATCCCCCTTCACGCGCCCTCTTCCAGGGTGCACTGCCCTACTGCTCTGACTTAGCTGGACCCGGGCTTTCCTGATGTCTGCTGTTGGCCAGGCCTTTCTGTCCACTGAGATACCACCCCCTGGGTGCCATCCAGCCATCTCTCAATTCCCAGCTCTGGCAGATCACCCAGACATTCCTGATCAAACAAGCTCAAAGCAACTGCCCCGCCCCTTCTAATCGCGCAGCCCTGTGGTTTATATCTCTTTAAGGGACCGATCACATTTATTCATCTATTCAGGACCTGGCACGCTGTCTCCAGTTAGGCACCGTGCCCCTTCTGCTAGACTACAAACTCTGAGGCAGAATTAACGTCTGAGTCATCTTTTTATTACCCAAAGAAGCTAAAAAGACAGGAAACCGATATTTATTGAGTGTCTACGATCTGCTCAGAACCTCACACACAGCCTCTCAGTCCTCACAAGCCTCATAGAGCTGGCATTCTCATTTTACACAAGAGAAAGCGGACGTCCAAAGATGTGAAGTCCCTCTGCCCGAGTGCACACAGCTAGTAAAGGACAGAATCTATTTTAAAACCCTCTAGGACCTACCCATTAATATGATCCTCTGAATACCTCTTGATGCTAAGTATATAAAACACAAACTCGAAGTTACACAAATATCCACTAAATGAGAGAAGCCGTCATCTTCCACATACTAAAAGCCAACTTTATGCGACACACCAGAATAGACTGCTCTCCTGTAAGTATGTTCAAATAGGACCAAAAAAGATGTTTAGCTGATCAAAAAAAGATGGCCCCTCATTTTATAGCTGCAGCACGTGCAGCAGGAGAGAGGCCATAATCACAGGGGCAAAGCCCAATTCAGCACAACAGTTGTATCTTTGTTTTCAGAATTACAGCTGATTTTTTTAAAAAAGCCAAAACCTATGAGGCACTGAGCAGCTTGAGAGAAGGAACTGGTTAAGGAAAGAGAACGAAGGATGCTGAAAAGCACAAATGAGGTCTGACAAGTTACATAAAACTCATAATGACGACACGCTGAACACAGCCGACTGTAAGCCCTGGATGCTTTTCTCAGATCTTCTGCACAAAAACACCACTCTTGAGCGACCTGACGAAATGACAAAGTTCAGCAAGCCAAAGTACAGCGTCTCTGGACCAGGCTGAAGTTTCCAGCCAACCTGCAAGCTCGGAGCCTCTTAAACACAGCTGTACCTTTGGGGTGTCAACACACTCTTCCTCCATGAACGTTGCTTCCGCCTGACAGCCGGACGCGGGAAACGCGAAGGCGTCCACGTTGGGTGCCTGTGGGAGGAGGGCAGATCGCATCAGCCGCACGTTCGGGGGGTGCACGGTCACTGGGAGCCCCACGGTCTGTGCCTGCAGACATGGCAAGAAGAGAAAGTTGGGGAACATTAGTACTTTCTATATAAAGGTACAGAATTCTTAAAAGAAAATAATTCTTCCTGGTGCAATGAAAGGATAAATAGGGATTTGCTGGATACTCCAGGAAAGATGTGATTAAATAGGTACACGGCACAGGTATCCACCTGAAGCAGTCTCAATTATTCTGAGATGGGTGGTATAGGATTCTGTTCCTGTTCCACGATGAGGTGCGTAACTTTCAGGCAAATGACAAGAAAGCTGATCGTTGTAAGGAATCTACAGATGCTCTTTTGTTTTCAACAAACAAATATTGTCTATATCCTTAAAATGTATTACTCTGGAAAGATACAAAGACTGGAAAAGTCCCTGCCTCCCTAGGAGCTCAAAAATTAAATCAGAGAGAGAGAAACATTAACTGTAACACAAAGCACACTGCCATACGTGCTGTCCACCTGCATTTTTGGGGGGAGGGGGTGGAGGTGAGATGGCGGGTCTTTCTCGGCAGTGGTGTGTGTGAAGAGGAAGGAGAGAGAAGCGGTGGTCACTTGGGGGGACAGGAATGTCCTTTGAAGGAGACGCACAGACTGAACACAGCCTATTGCTGAGCAAGCCATGTTCCCAAAGTTAACCTACTAGAGAAAGTCCATCCTTCGCGTCTCCTTTGTTACAGAACTCTAAGTAAACAAGTATTACAAGTTTTTTTTTTAAATGTCATTTAAAAGAACCTTCCTTTACGACAACTGGCAAGGGTCGATTCTGAAGATGTAACTGTTGAATAATCCTTTCCTCTCCATCTTTTCAAAACAAGCAGACTAATTTATTAGATGCCTTTTGAACATAGCAGACACTGCAAGACATCTGAGGGAACAATCATCACACTAGTTTCTAAAAGGCAGAGGAATGGCCTATTTTTTTCTGCCATCATCACTTCAAGGGATGTAAGACGGCGAGTTTTAAATTCAAACGAAAAGAAACAACGGTATGATTCTAGCTTTCCTTTCCCTAGACCTGGGTTTGATTCCTGGCTCCATCACGTACTGTGTGAACTTACTCAGGTTACTTAACCTCTCTGAATTTTATTTTCTTCACCTCCAAAAAAAGACGTTAAAATCTACTCCACACTGAAGTCAGGCAACGTGTAGAGCCCTTCACACAGTAATGTGAATTCCTCCTTTCTCCTTCCTTCTAAAGTCTTAAAATGATCGCAATAATTTAGCACAGGAATTAGACTGCAAAATGAATACACAGTTTTGTTCTCAGATACTATCTAATGGTTCCCAGTTAAAATTTAAGGCTGATGCTTTTCAATAATGGGGGGATAGGTCAGAAATACACTTTGTATTTGACTATACTTTGAATATACTCAGAACATACTTTATATTCCAACATTAACAGTATTAGATACACTGCATGAGATAAAGAATAAAACAGTGATAGCAAAGGGTTGGTATCATGTGGATGGTAAAAGCAGAAAAAAAATACATTATATACTATTCTGAACATGACACAGAAATAGCTTTTCTTATATCATCATTCTTCAGGCCTATATCCTGGGCCACTTTTGAGATTAAACATTTTTTTCCCTTTCAAGCATTAGTCATTTAAATTGATTTTTTCAGCCACAATGTAACATTTAAACTTCCTAATGAAGTATATTTGATATTCTTCTTACTCTTATCATTGGCTTTTCAATCAGAGGATAAAGCTGAACTTTGATTTCTGTTTCCCAAATTTATTAGACTGTTCCTTCTTATTAGGACAAAGCATTATTACCTGAAAATGCTGTACTGGACATGAGATACCAACACGGTCACTACAATGTGGTGTTGCTTTTCACTCTCTTATCAGCTGTGGCTTTTTAAATGGCAGGACTGTGCTTGGGCCAGACCAAGCATTTTCCTTAAACACATATTCCATATTCCATATTCATATTCCAACCTGGTCTGCAACTTATTGTGAACTTGGTAAGGACAGAGAAAGGACACATTTTATTGTGACAACCACTTCACAGCAAATAGAGTGGTGGATCGAGGGGTCTGCGTTTTAGGGTTCCTGCAATCACTGAAGGGACTGTCAATGTCTTTTTTGGCACAAGTTAGGGTATCAATAGTCAAAGAGCCTAAACAGCACTGAACAGCTGACTAAAGAATCCGGCATTATAATAAATAGATGGTTGATTAATATCCCAGACAAGCAGATACTACCAGTTTCTTTAAGAGTGGCAGTGAACAGTGATCATGCCTGCTAACTGTAACGACTTTTTTAGATCACGTTTATTGTCTTGAACCTCTTCTTCTGCCTTTATGCTTTACAGAGCCATGACAATTAAAGCAGTGTTCTCTCCGATGGGAAAAATCTCTGTTGCTCCAGTGGGAATATGCTTGTTATGGACAAAATTTGGCCCCTGCCCCCACTCCCATCCACGTTGAAGCCTTCATACCTGGAGTGACTGTATCTGGAGATAGGGCCTTAAAGGAGGTAATTAAGGTTATATGAGGTCATAAGGGTGGGGCCCTAATCCAGTAGGACTGGTGTCCCTCGACGAAGAGGCTGACACCCCAAAGATCTCTCTCCCTGCGTGTGCAGAGGAAAGGCAGTGCGAGGACACAAGAAGAAGGTGGCCACCTACAAGCCAGGAGCAGAGTCCTCTCACCCTGACGGCAGCTGGATCCTGGCCTTCCAGCCTCCAGAACTGTGAGAAAGCAGACTTCACTGTTGAAGCCACCCGTCTTTGGCGCTCCGTCACAGCGGCCCTAGTCGACTAACGCAAGGCTCTTCCTTACAGATGCGGAAGGCAACCTCTAACCAGCCCTTAAGGAAGAACTGGGATGAGTGTTTCACTCTTGTCTGCTTACAGCAGATGGACACCTGGAGTGGAAGGACTGTTAAAAACTAGTAGCTGGACTGTGTATAAAATAGATAAACAACAAGTTTATACTGTGTAGCCCAGGAAACTATATTCAATATCTTGTAGTAACCTATAATGAAAAGAATATGAAAACGAATACATGTATGTATATGTATTGCTGAAACATTACGCTGTACCCTGGAAATTGATACAACATTGTAAACTGACTATAGTTCAATTAAAAAAAAATCCACATGCACAAAGCAAAACAAACAAACAAAAAACCAACAACAAAAAAACCTTGCAGTTCATATTCACAAGAAAAAGGTGTGACATATTTTCTCTAAATAGTCACCTGCAGTCAATTTGATGTAACATTTCCCGCTTGTTATAAGGCAAATATAAGTACTCTGCTAAGATGGACATCTCACGGCTTTCTAAGTGGTGGTAAAGGGTTGTTTATCACTATACCACAAACTCCTAAGGGCAGGGACTGTTCCCTGGTACCTATGAAACTCTGATGGCTGGGGCTGTGCCTGGCACATAAGTGAACCAAACGGCTGCTATAAATTAACCGATTTGATCTTTGTAGCCAACTTATGAAGGAGGCACTGCTATTTCCATTTTGTATTGAAGGTCACTGGAGCTTGGAGACGCTGACTTGCCGAGGTCGCTCAGCTCGGTGTGGAACCCAAGGTCTGCCTGATTCCACAGCTCCGGGGATCTCTGTGTGGGATTCTGTCAATTCCTTATTCCCATGTCAAGTAACAAGCAGTTTGCCACTTCTTTCAAAAGATAGTATACCATCAAAGAATTCAAGGGAGAAGGCTCTACTAAAACTTGAAGCATATTACATTCCTAAAACAGAGAAATCTATTTTTTTTTAAACAAGTTCAGCACTAAACACTAGAACGTGAATGTTCTTGCAGGGAGGGGCGATCTTGTTTAAACCCAGGGCCCACTGCTTAGAATTCAGATGGCCCTCGAGGCAAGTCTATGAATGAGCACTGAAGATCTCTCCTTGAATTAGACACATCTGAAGTCACACTAGGTAGCTTTCTACGACAACTTGGGCCAAGGCGTAAAATGAAAAGAACTCATGGGGTGCTTGGTCATTAAAAAAAAAGTTACCAAACATAAGAAGCTATGCATACATCGGAACCCCCAAGCCAAATCACATGTAAATTACATGTAACCTGAGATCCCCTAGGGAGTTTGCTTCAAGTTCAGACAGGACAGGCGATCATGTACAATAACCACACTGTATGTGTGCTCAGGAGCAGTCATCACGTAGCCCCCTTCCCTCACGTGTGCCACGTGTGTCTCAGAAGAACAGAGACTTGGGGGGGGACAGCAGTGCAGCCGGGGGCTTCCCTGCTCCCTGTCCTTCTGTCTGGCCATGTTTTCTAGAGGGAAGGGGCACTCCACCTCTCCCTGTTACTCCCTCAGCTCAGAAATTCTCATTTTATCCCCCTCCTCTCCATCTTGAAGGGCATACTATTCTACTTAAAAAAATTCCAGGGGCTCAGAGATACTTCAACCCAAATATCTGACTTGACTGATATATTAGTGTCAATATTCACATTATTTTAGATACCAAAGTATGTATAACAAAGTATACCATTTGCCTATTAAAATCAAGAAGATTTTCATTTCATTGGGGTTTTTTTCAAATGTTCTGTACAAGCCAATGCAAAATTCTATTATAATCCTATACATTCTGTAAAACTGCCAGAGAAGAAACACAAAGTCAAAACTTTTCTGCTCTCACTTGCACTTTAAATAAAGTCAGTAGTCACAGAAATAGATGGAAGTCCTAAGAGATCACAGGAACGAACCGTTTCTCTTTTCAACCTCTATGTAGATGATTTCCTGACCCCCTTCAGCCCCAGCTTCTCCAGGGGATCCAGATCCATCCTTCCTCATAAGCAGCTGAGTCAGTGCCACCCCAGTTCCCTCAGCCTCGGGCTCAACAGTGGAGTCATGTAACCAGCAGTCCCTTCCTCCAGAGTCTGCCTCCGAAGGGGTCCTGGCACTCGCCCCTTCCTGCCTACCTCCACCTGCACCATCTTAGTTCAAGTTTCAGTATTTCTCATCTCGGCTACTATACTGGTTCCCTAACTGCTCTCTCCAAATTTCTTCTCTCCCCTAACCAATCTAACCTTCCCCACGTTACCAGACTGTTTAGCTGAAAGTGTGGATATAATTTATCACTTCTTTTTGCTTAACAGTCTTCAGTAGTTCCTCATTTCTTCCTGAATTGTAAGTAAACTCTTTTACCTTGGCATTCAAAGCCCCTCACAACACGGCTTCAACCTCCACTCCAACTCTTCCATTTCCCTGGGCTTCAATTCAAGTGGATTGATTTGAAGAAGCCCTACACTTGCCCACTTGAGGACTTCTGTCCCCACTGCTTCCTCTGCCTCTAACTCCCGCCTCTCCCTAACGAAGTCCTACACGTCTGTAGAGCTGTCGTAAACGCCCCCTCTCCCACACAGCATCTCCCATTCAGATGTCTCTCTCGCTCCCCTTTGCTTCTGTAGCACTCACCTTCCTCTAATTTGAATGATGGCTATTTATGTATCGTTTTCCACACCCTCTCCTCTACAGTGCCTACACCTAGTACATCTGCGATAAAAATTTATTACATGAAACTGAACATACAGGCTAGTGACATTAATTCTCAACATAAGTGAATGATGTGAAATAAGTGAAAAATATTGAGAAATCTCTTAAAGAAAAAAATCCTTAAAAGGAGGAAGATGATCAAACATTCGATAATCTATTGAATGATGGAGAGAAACTTTACAGAAGAATGGGGTGTAGGGGATGAAATCCTAACGCTTTATACTACACGATGAAAAATGTGTCCAACATGTGAACAGACACACGCACGGATAAGACTACTGGCTGTTGGGGTGTTACCTTGGCAACTGTCTGTTCTGCGATGGTGCTGGGCCGACGCTGGCGGGCGTCGAGTCTCTGCTCCACCGGGAAGCTGCTCCTGTGTGATTTCAGGCGCTCCACCAACAAGTAATAAATGGCAGCAAAGTGGTTATAGCTCTTGTTCTGCAGAGACTGGACAAGAAAACAAGTGCTGAAGGCAGAGGACCACAAAAAAACCAGTCCAGGAATTTACATCTTTCTAAACAAGGAGGCAAGATATCATGTATTCTTAAAAACAGAGTATGCGTCAAAAGGAAAGCTATCCCAGAATTGAGAATGGAATACAGATAACCTCATTAATTATACAAAGGGCGATACCTCTGAATGACCTGACTGGCTCTTTTTTTTTATTTTTAATTTTTTCAGTGGGGGAGAGGGGGAGGGAGGTAATTAGGATTATTTATTTCTTTACTTTTTAAAGAGGCGACACTGGGGATTGAACCCAGGACCTCGTGCATGCCAAGCATGCGCTCTACCACTTTGAGCTATAGCCTCCTGCAACTGGCTCTTTTACATTAACAGGATCCACTTGTGTGTCTGCATTCAGAGAAAATGCCCCAGTGCTGTCACGGGGTCCCATCTCATTGTCGCAACTATGCTGTAGGGTCAGGTAGCAACCTGAGCCCTGAGGCTCTAATTCCATTGCCTCAACACAAGTCCAACCCATTGCAAACTCTGAAGTGAATGATTAAAGTCTTTGGGGAAATTTCTGGTGATGACTTTGGGCTGGAGAATGACATTTGGACGCTAGGTTGAGAGACACTGTGTCTCCGTTCTTAGGTAATTTTTTCCTCTTGTTTTTGCAGTCCCACCCTTTTGAAACCTTGAAAATAAAGTTGCTTCCCAATTTCTCCCATCCCGGGCTGGCGAGCTCTCCCAGGATACTAACGGAGCAGAGCAACCACGGCTCCTCTGGTTCTAACTCCACGTGACAGGCTGCCTGGGTGCCGGGCAGCACAGCTGGATGCAAAGCTCTCACGGCAAACACTAGCGGAACTACCCCCAACCCCCCAGCTGCTGTTCGAGATCTCCTTCACCGGCAAGTACAAAAAAAAACCTCACTGAGCACATGATGAGCAAAGCAGGAGAGCAGTCTGGTTTCACTTACGGCTCCCACGAGGGAAAAGCCAGCACAGTTTGGGGCACTTTATATTCGCTGGGGGGCATTTTGCATTCTTTCTTGTTATGCTTCATCCTTAAAGACACTGGGGTTTTTTGTTTTTTTAATTGCTGTGGAGTTATTAAAAATATGTATATGCTGACTATTAAAGGACAGAAATAAAGCTGACAAGGAATTTCCCTGGTTCATGACCTTCTCAGCTCTATGACCCATAACACTTCCAAATCAGGAATCCACCTGGTTTTGCCTTCTCAGTTTCTTCAGTTCACAATCTAAATCCCAGTGTTTTTCCTCAATCTGATGCCCACCCTTGTTCCCTGCTCAGTCCTCAGCCTTGTTCTGGATCTGCAAATTTATGTTCCATATAAGCTAGTTCATTACCTGTAAAAAACCCTTATTCTTCATCTTAGCAGAAACCTTCTACTCTGTGTTTGTGAAGATTCTACCTTTGTCTTTTCTCAGTCCTACATAAACCCTTCCTTTTGAATTTTCTGGCAGATGAGGAAAAGGGAGGAATTCACACATTGAATAGAAACAAACATAGAGTGTGATGTGCTTTTCAGAGAACACTGAACAGTCACCTAGGTGCTGGGGATGGCCATGCCAAAGGACCAGATGACAGGAGCGAGCGTGAAATTTCGAGTTACCAAGTACAGCAGAGTTCTAAAAAATCTTCAGTTGAACCTCTACCCACTTTACCTCAATGGTTTTCTGTTGATCTATCCCAAGGCTGTGCATGAGTCGCAGGACCTGCTCATTAAATTCCCCAATGGATGGCTCGTTTTCTTGCCCTTGTGGATAGAGAACAGGCCTCTGCACAGGAACTTCTACGAGCATCCACTTATGCTCCTTGATCTGGGCTATGGTTAGCCGTTTGGATGGATCAAGGACCAGCATCCTTCGAATAAGGTGCTCACAATCTACGGAAAACACAATGTTACAAAAGTCGCGTAAGTCACCTTGCACCTCGGGGTAAATGCCTGACTCAGGTGGCTTGGCACAGTGGTCGGAATCTCTGCATCTGCACAGCACCCACTGGAAAGCAGACACTCAAATGAAGAAATGACTACCTGAAGGCCACTGGTAACTGTCAGGTTCACATGGTGAAGGCAGACACTACAACCAACATCACCGCGAGTGAACACTTAAGAAAAAGATGAGGACGCAGTTCTGGCCTGTTTTATACTAAATGAACCCAGAAGCTGAATTTCTCAACTGAAAATATCTAGACAGACTCAGGCTTCCTCCAAGAGAAGAACAAGCCTTCTTCTTTGAACGAGCAAATAATAAACGGATCGTCAGTCACTTCTGAGGCAAGAGCTCTTGCATGGACTGTCGCTTTTCTCCAAGTCACTTCAGCTGAGAAAAATGTACGTGGAGCAGGAGCTACTTCTGATGCCACTAAGTGACCCGCACGGTGCAGCTCGGCACGGGCGCCCTCCCCGAGCTGACTGTGCTGTTCGCCCCTCCACGTAAGCTAACCCTGTATCACCTGCTTTGTGCCAGGCAACAGGCTGAGTGCTGTAAGATTAGTTTAATTAATCCCACAACACCTCCATTAGCAACTGCTGTTATCACCATTTTACAGACTGAAGAAACTGAAGCACAGAGGGGGGCTACAACCTGCCAAGGCCAGACCGCCAGTAAGTGGGGGACCCAGGATTAAAACCAGGCGGTCTGGCTTCACAGTCTATCCCTTAACTACTAGATCATTACTTCCGTTACGAGGAAGAAATAAGTTAAGGATGATAACCAAAACCTAAACTAATGAGTAAACTGCTGCCCACGTAACAACTCAATGCAAGACTGGCAGGGACTACGGGATTTGATCTCAATTACAGATTTGCTAGTTGGTGTTAAATTTAATTAAAAACTTAATTTTGAAAAAAAACCCCTTAATTTTGCCACTTCCCACCAAAGATAGGGGAAAATCCATCACATATTGTGAAATGGTTGTGGGTCTGTATCGACAAAGTGCTTCTCTAAGGCTGAAACAAACCTGGGACATTTGCAGATTGACAGTAAAAGGAAAGACTTGCTTAACCCGGGAAACTCTGTTTTCAGTTACAAGCAGGAAGGCTGGAACTCCTCTCACCTACACGGAGGGGCGGCTTATGTCTATGGCTTTTAAAGTGACCCGGTCACGTTATTTGGCACCCGAACTCTTAGACGAAGGGAAGCCTTTTTCTCGGCACCGATCTGCATAACCAACTGTGTAAAGCCCAGTTTTAGGATAGACAGCTTGTTACCTTCTGACATGAAATACGGAATCCGGAATCTTCCTTCTAAAACCCTCTGCCTCAAAATTGGAAGACTTGGTCCATCAAAAGGCAGGGCTCCGCAGACAAGGACGTAGAGAACGACTCCCATGCTCTAGGGAGGAACACAACACAGTCACTTTTCCACTGACAACGTCAAACACTCCTCCTGTTCCTACATAACCCGGGGGCCCTTAAAAACACATGGACTGAAAAATTCCTGTATGAATTTACTACTTTCTCAGAATTAAAAACAACAACAAAAACCCCAAAACACTGACTGCTGCAGTAAAGTATCCTATAACAAAAAACAGAGGGCCTAAATTTAATCATTTTGATTGCTACTTGACTTTGAATTATTGCTGATATTAGGATGGTAACATCTGTCCCTAGAAATTCTTCCCGAGAATCGAATTCAAGATGCTCTGACTAGTTACAGTCCAGTGGACAGGGAAAGCATGAACTTCTGCCTACGTGTTAGGTACCAAGGGCTTCCAAGATGGGCCAGGGTACCAAGCATTATCTTTATAGATGCACTTAACACAGCTAAGCAAAGAAATACCCAAATATCCAGCTGTGGTCCTTCATACTGCTGCCCTTCAAAGACTTCTGGGGCTGCATACGGGGGGCTGCCACACCATGTCGCCAGCAGTTCACCGCTTTCAAAGAAATTTCCAAAACCGAAATCTATGGGGATGGAAATAAATGTTACTTTCATCTGTGCTCTCAAACTATACTGAATTTCTCATAACAAACTTTATAATATGCTACATGGACAATGTCACTACTCATGACTGTGAGAATGGGTTGACATGTATCTCGTGATGTTTCCTTAGCACTTAGCATAATGAATAGCAAACATCAGGTGTGCGGTAAACACGTATTGAATGAATGCGTAAATGAATCAAGTTTTCTTCTCAAAGAGAATGAGTGAGAGATTGGAGAAAGACTTTAAATCATGTATTTTTAAGGCTGAGAGAAAATCCATTGGTGTAGACAACCAACTTGAATTTGATAATCTTAGACTTTCCATTCTTCCATGATTAAGAGCTCTTTAGCCTACATGATCTATAAAGAAAAAAGTCAAATGAGTCGAAGTCCAAGATACTCACCTAAACACAATCAAAGGGCCGGCTGCTCTTACAGCCCTTACCCCGGAGCAGCAAGGTAAATACCCTTTTAAGGCAACTGAGCACAGTGGTTCCTAAGTAACAGCTCTTCTAAGCGTTGCCTGCACATCCTGAATTAGACAGATACTCATCTGAGCAGCTCATTAACATGCGACGGCTTTGTGGGCCAGCCGCAGGCCACCCAGCACCAGCTATCACTTATTTACTCATTTATGGAATGCGGTGGCGTGACACTTCAAAAGAGCTAATGGCCTTCCCCTCACGACATTAGTCATACTGCGTCTACAGCTCTGGTAAACTGCACGCACCCCGGACACACTGCACCCAGATGCCTGCAGGACACGGGAACGTTGCGGCAGAAGACAAACGTGGTGAGCTCTGGGGTAGACGCAAGCTTGTGCCCTTTCGCTAAGCCATCACACGGTCTCATGTTCTTAGTGAAGGAACAAAACTCCTGCTATTTTGTTAAGTTACAGCCATACTGTCTCAGGTTGGAACAGACTCCTGACTGAAGGACACACCTTGGTGACAGGAACTGGCTCCGCTCCCGGCCAGTGTATGCGCTGCAGGCAGAGCGAGGGGCCCCAGGGGACGGGAGCAAGTCCCCAGTGCCAGACTGACTGGCCGTGTGACTTGGGTTCAGTTTTTGTGAGCCTTGGTCACCTGTAACCCTGGAGTAGCCGTAGTCAGCAGGTTCCTGCGGGGATCCCACGAGTTCACATAAACTCACATTCTTTGCACACCTTGAGACGATGGCGCACTTCTGCACCTTAGAAGAGGCATTCTCTGAGCTGCCGGTGTAAAAAGTGGTGGCCAGTAGTAGTGACAGCGACAACTTCTGTGATCCCAATACCGCAGCCTCACGGCGGAGGATGACCTAGGAAGCTGGGGGTACCTACACCTGATTTCCAGTTTTGCTGCTTTCTAGCCTCAAGTCCTCTGTGTAATCTAAATTATTTCACCTCCCTGAACCTTACTTTCCTTATCTGTCAGTGTGGGGATAATACACCTACCCAGATAAGATATTGTGAAGATTAAATGAGGTTAGGAATGTAAAGTGCCTGGAGCACAGGAGATAATGCAATGTCAGCTTCCTTCTGCTGTGAAGCCATCACTACCAGTTACTGCCTTACAGAGAAAAAGGTCCTGAGGAAATACACAGGAAGGGTAGACAAAATGTGGAGAAGCTTAAGGGTTCAGAAGAGAAAGCATGATGCACAGGGGGGAAGGGGTGGGGCATCTACACCTGGCGGAACAACACTGGTCTGTCCTTGGCATCCAGGACAATGAGAACGCCTCCCTCCACCACGTGACTGTAGTTCAGTCCCGTAATCCACTTTCCAAAATGCCTGTCAGAGAGGTCTTCACTTCTCAAGTCCATCTCTGTGACTAAACACTCACGCCACAACCCATGTGTCCATATTGACAGGTGTTTCTAATTTCCTAGAAAAATTATACTCTTAAAGGAGCCAAGGGCTAGATGTCCGAATAACCTTTCAAGAGGAAAACATTAATTTCACTCACGCGAAAAGCACAAGATCTTGAAATAGGTCCAATAATTGCTGTACTTTGAACGGCAATCACAGGATGAGTTTTAGCCCATGCAAGTTGAGGACGCTCTCCAAACAGCATCGTAATGTTTTAACGTCTCCAAGAGCCATGACAGGGCTCCTTCGTTCTGAACCTTCCCCGACTCTGGCAGAATGAATGCGAAGGAGTGACCGGGACAGAGGACTGTCAGGAAGGCAGTCTGGACTCTGCTTCCCTGGGCTCTCTCACTGGTCCCTTCACACGGAGGAGAGCAAAAGCGAGGGAAGCGCCATGGTGCCTGTGCCAGCCCAGCCTCAACCTTGGCTGTGCACATCTGCTAACTCACAAGAAGGGGGTGCTAGACAGAAGTTACTTCTATTTCCTGTAAGGAACTGAAGAAAACAGGAACTTGAGTCTGTAGGACCATTAAGAGAAGCACTGAAAGACAAATAGGTTCCTAAAACTATGATAACAGCACGTATGCAGCCGTCTTCCATAACCCTGTCAAAGCACTTACACGCTGTACTTGTCATCAGCTGATGTCTGGGTGAAGGAAGGCTTTGGAGTCAGGCAGATCCTGGGTTTTCCACTTGGACAAAGTGTGGAGAAGCTTAAGGGTTCAGAAGAGAAGGGATGATGCACCGAGGTGGGGGGAGGGGCGTGGGCAAATGACTTAATTTCTCAGAGCCTTGGTAGCATTTGCAAAGTGGGGACAATGTCCACACTTCATAACAAGGAGTACCTTATACTCACCACAAGTGAGTCTATGTAGGTACATACATTTATAAGTAGACAGTACATCATGCTCTAGGCATGCTACCGAGACACGGCAGGTGCTCACTAAACAGCAGTGACCGAGGAAGATGCTCAACAGAAGCACAGCAATTCTCCGTCTCGTTTTGTCTTTCCCGTCACATGAACTCCTGGAGAGCAGAGAAGTGGGAAATGATACGTGTCTGTACTCCTAGCACTGAGCACACTGTCGGCAGACAGCAGCTGTTCAGCACAGGTTTGCTGAGTGAATATGTTGTCATCGTCTTTTTGAAAAATGCCAGAAGCTGACCCGAGCTCTCCATAGATGATTTCCTCTTCATAATCCCATGAGGTATCCTTATTTTAGGAGAGTGAGAGTAGAGAGTTAAGTACCTTTGCTAGAGGTTATACTAAGTCGTGGACGTGGAAGAGAAACCAAGTCTGAATACAGAGCCCTCCCTGTTACCCACCACCATCATGTCCTTCTCCGGCACAGCGATGGCCACTATTTTTGAGCAAGTTAATAATTGTCAGGTTTAAGAAGTAGCAATGGGAAGGCCCTTAAAAATAAAAGCCCTTTTTATTTCTTCACTGGAACCTGGACAATTTGCTTCATTCACAGCCTGCAGCTTTCTGCCTAAAAGCATATAGTGAGATGAGGGAAGAGCAAGAGGGATGAAATGCGCTAATGGCAGAGCTACGCAGGATTTCTCTCTCATCACTATTTATTCAAATGCAATGGATTGACGTTTCATCATCCCAACCAAGTTCTTTCCTTCCTTCATTAAACATGTGAGTGCGGACAGGTGTCAATCACTATGCAAACATGAAGGCAGTCTCACAACAACAGAGAATCATCAAGGACCCCTGATTTTTGGAAAGCATCCTTTCTTTATGCTTGACCCAGACCCAGGCTATGCTGGCCTTGCTGGAAAGGACCAATCCTTCTAGTTTAATGGCTTCTCTGAGCTCTGAGCTGCCAGTTAATACCTCAAATGCCCCTCAGGCACTTTGCTTCCTGTTTCTCTGTCATGGAACTTGACGCCATGCTATGCCGGATTGACTTTGATATTATTTAACTTTTAATTTTGAATTTATAGAAGAGTTGCAGCAATCAAGTAAGGAGAATTCCCTATGCCCTTCATACAACTTTTCCCCCTAATGTTAACATTTTCCATAACTATTAGCAAAACTATCAAAAACTAAGAAATAACATGGATTCAATACTTTAAACCACACACTTCAGTAAGATTTCACCAGTTTATTTCACTAACGTTCCCCTTCATCAGTGCTGGATTCCATGATGCACTTGGTCATCATGACTCCTAAGTCTTCACTAAGTGGTAAGACAGTTCCTTGGTCTTCCCTTGTCTTTCTTGACCATGGACAGTGCATTTGCAGACTGTGTCTCAGTCCGGGTTTGCCTGATGATTTTTCACGAGTAGATTAAGATGATGACTTTAGGGCAAGAACATCACAGAGGTGAAGCGCTCTTCTGAGTGGACCAGGTCAGGGGTGCACATAATTAGGTCTAACTACTGGGGTGGGGGGGTGTTAACCTTGATCTCTTGATTAAGGTAATCTCTGCTGGGTTACCCCACTGTAAAGGTATTATTTCTCCCTTTGTAATTAATAAATATTATGGAGAAGATATACTGAGACTATACCTACCATTTCTCCTTAAACTTTCACCCACTAATTTGGCATTCACTGGTAGGTCTTGACTGCAACAATAATTACTGTGGTGTTCTAAAGGTGAATTTTCACTTCCCTCATTCCTTCTACAGTTATTAATGACAATTCTTCTTTAAGGAAGAGTCGTCCCTTCTTCCCCTCTTATTTATTTATCATTAAATCATTTGTTTATTATTTATAATATTGTCATATTATAGTCATCATAAGTATTTATTTTATTCTTTGGGTTGTAAGTCAATATTATGGTTATTTATTTTGATGCTCAAATAGTTCCAGCTTTGGCCACTAGGAGCTAACTCAGGTTGGCTCCTGTACCCTTTCAACATGGCCCTCTCTTTTTAAAATTTCATTTAACTTTAGCTATTTCCTTATCGTCTGGCAGAACAGAAGATGTTCTAAGTCTCATCTTATATTTTCCTGCCCTAGCCCTGGAATGAACCACTTTTCCAAGGAGCTCTGATTCCTTTTACAGAGGAATGGTACTTAGAAACCAAGGCTAAGACCTAAATGTGCTCACTGCCAGTGGGATGTCATTGCATCTAGGCTCTGTCAGCATAGTTAGGAAATATATGTATGAAT